AATCAAAAAACAAAAAAGAGTAGGGGGGGCTCGCCATACTTTGCATCCCTCTATGCTCCAAAAGGCCAGGCGTATGGTACATATATACATTTATTTTTTTGCCTTTCACTGTGGCCACCCATCTCCCAGACGCGCTAGCGCACTGCGTACCACCGCTCCCAACCCAAGCTTACATGCACGGTCGATTACGAGGATGCACGGCTTGGTGGTCCACGTGGTGTGACAGCAGGTTTATACTTTCCATAATCTCGCGCGGTTACCAGTTACCATGGGCGAACAACGAGCCCACACCCCGGCGCGCACCCAACCACCCTGGCGTAGCCCAGCATATCACTTTCACGACAGAGGCAATTGCCGAGCTCGTAGCCACTGGAGCAGCACGCGTTATCTCGTCCCGGACAGTAAATACATGCTCTAGTCCTCTGAATGTGGTTGTACAACCGACCAAGAAGCAGCTCATCCTTGACCTGAGGCACGTGAATAGTTTCTACGTACATCTAAATTTCGATACGAGGGACTTAATCGTATCCCCGACCTCGTTCAGCAGGATGACTGGTTGTTCACAATCGACCTCAAAGCAGGATACCATCATGTCGACATTCATCCTAGCTTTTGGCGCTTTCTCGGATTTTCTTTCCAAGGCGTGGAATATCAGTTTCTCTCTCTCCCGTTTGGACTCGCGACCACACCCTTCGTGTTCACTCAGCTCATCAAGCAGCTTGCCAAACGGTGGCGAAGCCGAGGAATTCGTGTAGTTCCTTACGTGGATGATATCCTCGTTATCAGTGAGACCCTTACTAGTGCACTGCAATCTCGGGAAACCATTCTACAAGATCTCCGACATGCTGGATTTATTGTCAATACAAAAAAGTCTCAGCTCAAACCAGTACAACGCCTCAAATTCCTCGGCCTGCTCATGGACACCAATGAGCTGTCGTTTTCCGTGGACTCGACACGACGCGCACGGCTTCTGGAGGAAATACGCTTGACGTGTTCAGAGGGCAGCAGCGGCCGCCTCGTCCCGGTTCGCCGCCTCGCGCGCATCACAGGAATGCTGGCATCGATGTCGCTCGCGCTCGGCACCGTGGCCCGCGCGTTCTCCCATAATCTGCTCACGCAAATAGCAGAATGTCCGTCTTGGAGTTACAGAATTCTCCTCTCCGATAGCTCGGTGGATGAGCTTCGATCCTGGATGGCGCGATTTGACGAGTTCAATGGCTCTCGTTTTCATAACCCCCACACTTACGAGGCGGTCATCTATGTCGACGCTAGCGACATCTCTTGGGGAGCCGTGCTTTCCGATCTCAAAACTCGTGTGCAACCGCTTTCTGCTCCGATGCCACACGCCCTGTCCGCTACCTCTAGCACACTGCGCGAAATGACGGGCATTCTTTGGGCACTCACCTCCTTTGCGCCATGCATCCGAGACAAGCACGTCTTACTGCGCAGCGACAGCCAAGCTGCCTATTATATTATGCGAAAAGGGGGCTCTCGACGCCCCGAGATAACCCTTGTCTGTCGTGCCATCATTCAGCTCTGCGTAAGCTATCGCATCCGCCTGACGGCTCAATGGATTCCGCGTGAGCCTAATACAGAGGCCGATTACTTATCCAAGGTCATCCACTACGACGATTACTCGCTTCTTCCCCCTTGGTTTCGACTTGTCGATCGACGATGGGGTCCCCACACAATCGACCTGTTCGCGACATCCACCAATCACCAAGTGCCCCATTTTTGTACGCCCGCCTTCCACCCCCGGGCCGTGGCGCACGATGCCTTTTTTATCAGTTGGCACGAGGAGAACGCGTACGCGTTTCCCCCACCTCCATTGATTCCGGCGGTCATCTCACACGCACGACGTTCGCGTGCTAGGCTAACACTCCTTGTCCCCCGCTGGCCAAGCGCCTTCTGGTGGCCTATTCTATGCCCGTGCGGTACTTCATGTGCCTCTTTCATATTAGATCACATCGCACTTCCCCTATGCGCTTATTGTCTTGCACTCGGTAGTGATGTGCATGCGTTCGGTGGATCGGGGTTGCCTAACTCGCCACTCATTGTTCTTCGCATGGATTTTTCTCTTGAATGAATATCTTCACGTGTGGCAGAATCCAATATTTGTCGAATCCTTTTGGACCTCCTCACGCTCACTGTGGACCTCCGTGCTCAATCCACTATTCGCACGTACGAGCCATACTGGCGACAGTACCGCACCTTCAGCGCCAAAAACTCGCTCCAGCCACTTCCCGCCAATGATCTCACCGCGGCCCTCTTCCTTTTATACTCTATTCGGTCGAGAGCGACGCTGTCAGCTGTTCGTTCTATCTGTTCAGCCATCTCGTGCGCTCACTGGCTCTTAGGTGCCCCATCCCCTATCAAGGGCCCACTCTCGTCACAGGTTAAGGACTACGCCCAGCGCACTTGCGCCCGTCCCCACCAGGCAAAGGATCCTGTGCCCCCCTCCAAGATATACGACATGTGCGATGCTTATTTTTCCTCTCGAGACCCCGCCATCTTCCAAAAAGGGCTCATTCCTCTCCTCATGTTTTCGGCCTTTCTGCGCTTCTCCGACCTCGTCGCCCTTCAATGGCACCAAATCGAGTTCGACTCTGACTGCATGAGGTTGTTCATCCCCCGTTCTAAGACCGATCAAATGGGAGCCGGCGCATGGGTTCCAGTGGCTACGTCGAACGCTCGTCACTGCCCCGTTGCTCACGTTAAGGAATTTCTCTTTCTGGCGGGATTCTCTCGCGCTTCCATCGGCTCTCTCATTCGCGTCTTTCGACCTGGTTCGGGCGCGCTGCCGTCGGATGTCCCTCCCTCCTACACCACTGTGCGGAATTGGTGCCGCGAGGCCTTCGCTCGCGTCGGTCTGGATCCCTCCACCCTTGGGACACACTCATTTCGGAAGACTGCGGCCACACTCGCTGTTGACGCTGGGGTTCCCGATCGCCTTTTCAAAGCTCTCGGGCGGTGGCGCAGTGATGGTGCAAAGGAGATGTACATCACCCAGCTCGACTCCGAGTTGATCCGCGCATCCCGACTCATGCAAGACCCTACTCGACAAAGCACTACAGCACGTTATGCGTCTACTGTTGGCCGCGTCCGTCACCGCCCCTTACCATAATGTTTCGATCTCCTATGACGACTGCATTGCAGACTCCTTTCAGAGTCTTGTCACAATATGAATAATTTAGAAATATATTTCTAAATTTAATGATTGTGACAAGATTCGGAAAAAGGGGAATGCAATAAGGAGGCATTCCCACCTTATCCTTCGGCAGGTCCACAGACCTGCCACCTAGTCTCATTTCACTCATCTCAATTTGAGTTCCCGCCCTCCCACCCCTGATACGCATCGATGCTATTAGCTTAATCACGTACGGTAGCTTTGCGTACCATTGTTACATATATATACTGTGCCATGTAAATTGATGATGAACCTATGACGACTCTGTTAAACTGTGTTATGTTGGTAGGCTGTAGTGGGGTAGCCAATATGGGGTACAACCCCAACTAGGGTTTGCTACTTGTACCCAATTCTTCCATTCAATGCATCATTCTTGCCTAGTTATTTTGAGATGGTATTCAGAGCAGGAGGTCCCTAGGACCTACCGACCGTTTTTTAAGGGCCCACCACCGCTCGCATGCGGTTACCACGCTACCCCGTGCCCTAGCCTCGTAGCGCCCTCGTGCGCCCTCGTTAGCGCCCTCGTGCGTCCTCGTTAGCGCCCTCGTGCGCCCTCGTTAGCGCCCTCGCGCGCCCTCGTTAGCGCCCTCGCGCGCCTCTCGTTAGCGCCCTCGCGCGCCCTCGCTAGCGCCCTCGAGCGCCCCTCGTTAGCGCCCTCGCGCGCCCCTTGCAGCGTCGCCCGCCCGCCGAGCCGCCTACTCGCAGCGTCGCCCGCCCGTCACGCTGCCCGCTCGCCGCCCGCCCTCCGCGCTGCCTGCCCGCAGCGTCGCCCGCTCGCCCCGCTGCCCGCTTCGCAGCCCGCCCGCCCGCTCGCTGCCCGCTTCGCGGCCCGCCCGCTTCGCTGCCCGCTCGCAGCGTCGCCCGCCCGCCCGCTGCCCGCTTCGCAGCGTCGCCCGCCCGCTTGCTGCCCGCTCGCAGTGTCGCCCGCTCGCCCCGCAGCCCGCTTCGCAGCCCGCCCGCCCGCTCGCTGCCCGCTTCGCGGCCCGCCCGCTTCGCTGCCCGCTCGCAGCGTCGCCCGCCCGCCCGCTGCCCGCTTCGCAGCGTCGCCCGCCCGCTTGCTGCCCGCTCGCAGCGTCGCCCGCCCGCCCGCTGCCCGCTTCGCAGCGTCGCCCGCTCGCTCGCTGCCCGCTCGCAGCGTCGCCCGCCCGCCCGCTGCCCGCTTGCAGCGTCGCCCGCCCGCCTCGCTGCCCGCTTGCAGCGTCGCCCGCCCGCCCGCTGCCCGCTTGCAGCGTCGCCCGCCCGCCCGCTGCCCGCTTCGCAGCCGCCCGCCGCGCTGCCCGCTCGCCGCGTCGCCCGCCCGCCCCGCTGCCCGCTTCGCAGCCCGCCCGCCGCACTTCCCGCCTGCAGCGCCGCCCGCCTCGCCTGCTGCTCCCTGCCCGTGCACCGCCGCTTGCTCCTGCTGTGGCTGCTAGCTTCGCTCTAGCGCGTCCCCTCTGCTGCTGCCGCTGCTCTGCTGTGCCCTCACGCCTGAGCTATGGCCTCTATTCGCGTTCTTTCCTTCGATGCTGAGGGCCGTCCCGTGCAGTTCACTTCCTGGCTCGACGACCTGCAGTTGTATCTTATGAGCAATAGCACGGACCACATCTCCCTCTATGACTACGCGTCTGGTGCTGCCGCTGCTCCTGCTGCCACAGCCGAGCTTAGTGTACGTTCACAGTGGCAGACTCGTGACGCTGCAGCTCGCCTGGCTATTCGCAGTCACCTGCCGTTCGCTGAGCTAGAGCACTTTGGCGACTGCAAAACCGCTAAGGCCCTATACGACGCTGTCGTTGCTCGCTACTCCTCACCTGCCACAGCCGAGCTTAGCCGCCTCATGCTGCCTTACCTGTTCCCTGACCTGTCCACCTTTGCTACAGTCGCCGATCTTATCACCCACCTTCGCACTAGTGATGCTCGCCTGCGTGCCGCCCTTCCCACCGAGTTCTGCGCTAAGAACCCCCCTCCCCTGTACTGGGCACTCCACTTCATAGTCACCCGTCTCCCTGACACCCTCAGCTCAGTGCGCGACTATTTCCTTGCTCGCTGTCCCACTGAGCTCACTGTCGCCCTCCTAGAGGAGAAGCTGCTAGCAGCCGAGAAGAGCATTGTAGCTGTAGGTGCTGCTCGCGGCGCTCCTCGCACCCCCATCTTTGAGGGGTGCTCTCCCTCTCCCCTCGCTCCCTCCTATGCTACTGCTGCTGCTGTTGACTTCCTTGGTGCTGAGTCTGCTGGCGCTGCTTCTGCTCCTGGTGGGAGGCGCCGCACCGGCAAGGGCAAGGGGGGCAAGGGTGGCGGGGGTGGCGCTGGGGGGGGAGGGGGTGGGGGAGGTGGGGGGGGAGGCGGTGCTGGAGGGAGCGGTGGCGGGAGTGCTGGTGGGAGTGGGGCCGGCGGCGGAGGCGGGGGCGGCGGCGGGAGCAGTGGCGGTGGTGGCAGCGGCGGCAGTGGCGGCGGTGGCGGTAGTGGCGGTGGCGGTGGCGGTGGTGGCGGTCGGAGCGGAGGTAGTGGCGGCGGTGGAGGTCGGAGTGGAGGCACCGGCTCGGGCCAGAGCTCCCAGCAGCAGCAGCGTCCCCAGTCGACCCAGCAGCTTCGTGAGTGGCTTGCTCAGCGTGGGACGTCGGGGGGCAGTGGCCGCTGTTCCTATGTCATTCGCACAGGTGATCGCAAGGGGCAGACGTGTGGAAAGTTCCACACTCAGTACCGCTGCTTCTTCCGCCTTGACGACGCTTGGCGTGAGGAGATGGGCGAGGATGTTGAGCGCCCTCGCTGGGCTGAGCTGATGAGGGCTGGTGTTGATATCTTTGCTCTTGACTATGATGCTATTATTGCTGCCATGTATGCATTGACTGTTAGTGCCGAGGGAGACTGTTACTTGTGTGTGCCGCCTGACCCAGGTATAGAGCCCGCTGCCCTAGGTACTAGTGAGTCTGCTCTCTCTGGTATGGTGCCCCCTGTACCTGCTCCCTCCAGCACTGTCCCTGCTGCTTGCGAGTCTGCTCTCTCAGGTACAGCACCCACAGAGACTGCTCTCTCAGGTACTGCACCGGCTGAGGCCTGTCACACCTTCACCCTTGACTCAGGTGCTTCCCGCTGCTTCTTTCGAGACAGTACTGAGCTCACACCGCTTCCTGCACCGGTCCCAGTCTCCTTGGCTGACCCCTCTGGGGGCCCAGTCCTTGCCCAGTCCACCACTGTGCTCCCTTGTCCGGCGGTTCCGTCTGGCTCGTTGACGGGTTTCCACCTCCCCTCGTTCTCGACGAACCTGGTGAGCAACGCTGTCATCCAGGATCAGTGGGTTGACACCTTCACCCCTGGAGGACAGCGTGTGGCGATCTGCACGTGCTCCAGGACCGGCCGTCACCTGGCTACGTTTACTCGTCGGCCGGGGTCGAGTCTCTACACACTGACCACTGCGTCTCCTCAGGTAGCTGCTGTCGGTCAGGTGTCCGCGTCAGGTCTGGTGGCCCACGCCTGTGAGTGTCGTTCCCTGTCGCACCAGACTCTTCTCTGGCACCACCGCCTGGGTCACCCCTCCTTGCCACGCCTCCGTGGCATGCACCGTCGCCGCCTTGTGTCTGGTCTTCCCAGGTCCCTCCCTCCCCTCCCTGCCTCGCCTGCGCCGCCTTGCCTTCCTTGCGTCGAGGGGCGGCAGCGCGCCGCTCCTCACTCCTCCTCGTTCCCCCCGACAGAGGCTCCTCTGCAGACCCTCCACCTGGACGTGTGGGGCCCAGCCCGCGTTCGTGGCCAGGGCGGTGAGCGGTACTTTTTGCTGGTTGTCGACGACTACTCGCGTTACACCACGGTCTTCCCCTTGCGCACCAAGGGTGAGGTCCCTGCTGTTCTGATCCCTTGGATCCGCACAGTTCGTCTCCAGCTCCGCCGCCGTTTCCGGACGGATCTTCCTGTCCTGCGTCTGCACTCTGACAGAGGTGGTGAGTTTTCCTCCGATCTCTTGAGGACCTTCTGTCAGGCGGAGGGCATCGAGCAGACCTTCACGCTTCCGGACTCCCCACAGCAGAATGGGGTTGCTGAGCGCCGCATTGGCCTGGTCATGGAGGTCGCTCGTACCTCCTTGGTCCACGCGGCGGCTCCCCATTTTCTGTGGCCGTTTGCTGTCCGGTACGCCGCGCATCAGCTCAACCTCTGGCCCCGTGTCTCCTTGCCGGAGACCTCGCCCACACTGCGTTGGACGGGGGAGGTTGGCGATGCGTCGCGCTTCCGGGTGTGGGGTGCTCGTGCCCTTGTCCGCGATACGTCCGCGGACAAGCTCTCCTCCCGCACACTTCCCTGTGTCTTCCTTGGCTTTGTCCCTGACGCGCCGGGCTGGCAGTTTTACCACCCCACCTCGCGCCGGGTCTTCGCCTCTCAGGATGTCACCTTTGACGAGTCGGTCCCTTTTTACCGTCTCTTCCCCTACCGCACTGCCCCCCTCCCTCCCCCGCCGCTTTTCCTTGCTCCTGGTCCCCCTCCGGTAGACCCCCTTCCCCCTCAGGGTCCTGCTCCTTCAGGTGTCTCTCAGGTAGACCCTCCTCCCGTCGCTGAGCCTGTCGAGGTCACAGGTGACTCAGGTGGTGCTGCTGGGAGTGCTGAGCCTGGGGGTGCTGAGCCTGCGGGTGCTGGGCCTGGGGGTGCTGGGACTGCGGGTGCTGGAGCTGAGGGTACTGTGCCTGAGAGTTCGGCGCCTGGGGGTGCTGAGCCTGGGGGTGCTGCGACTGGGGGTGCTGAGCCTGCGTGTGCGGAGTCTGGGGGTGCTGAGTCTGGGGGTGCTGCGCCTGCGGGTACTGAGCCTGGGGGTGCTGCTACTGAGCCTACGGAGCCTCGGGTTACTGCGTCTGGGGGTGCTCCGGTTCGGGGTACTGAGCAGTCTCTCACACCGCAGCAGCTTCGAGGCTGGTACGTCCGGCACTTTCGCCGTCCTAGTGGCTCGGTTGGAGTTGGGGGTGCTGGAGCTGCTCGTTCTCGGGGTGCTCGTACTGGGGGGACTGGAGCTGCTGGAGCTGGGGACTCTGGAGCTGGCGGTGCTAGCGGAGTTGGAGCTGCCGCCTCTGGGGGTGGCGCTGCTGCTGGTGCTGAGGACTCGGACGGTGGAGCTGCTGCTGGAGCTGAGGACCCGGCCGGTGGAGCTGCTGCTGGTGCTGTGGACCCGGACGCTGGAGCTCCTACTGGTGCTGAGGACCCGGCCGCTGGAGTCCCTTCTGCTTCTGGAGACGCTGCGCGGCCGCGACCGTACTTCGTACCGCTCCTTCAGCAGGTTCTTGGGCAGGCTCCTCCTCCTTGTCCTCCTCCCTCCGTAGAGTGTCCTCCGCCAGTCCAGCCGCAGTCACAGTTACCGCCTACCTCGCCTCTCCCTGCTCCCTCTCCTTATACTGGTCCCACAGGAGGTCTTACGGAGCGTCGTGAGCCTGAGTCTCGTCCTGCGTCGCCTGTCCGTACTGCTCGCACTAGTCGTCGTGTCCGTCGTGAGCGTCCTCCTGCTGTCCCAGGCACTCACTACATGACTCTGCGTCCCTCCACTGCTCCTCAGCGTGTCCCTCTACCGTCTCCTCCTGAGTCCTCTTTGCCTGCTGTTCCGGACCCTGAGTCTGACCGGTATCGTGCTGAGCACCCTACTGTCACGCGTCTCCTAGCTACTGTTGTCACTGACCCTACCTTTGAGTCCTCGGCTGCGTCTGCTCTGGTCGCTGAGTTGGTTGACTTTGCTGCTGCCTGTCGTCTGGACTACGCTGCTAGCCTTGTTGCTGGGTCTGAGTCTGCGTCTGTCTGTCCTCCGTCCGTCGGGGGTGAGTGTGCTCTTGGCACGGACGTCCTTGAGGACAGGCAGGAGGACTTTGACTCTCTCGCGGCTGCTGTACCTCATCTCGTGGCCTGGTTGCTTGCCCCTGAGGGAGACCCGGATGCACTAGACTGTCAGAAATAACTGAGCAGGAATGGAATGAACTAGCACAGAGTTTGGTACAAGTAGGAAACCCTAACTTTGAGTACCCCCTAAGGTGTAACCCACTACAGCCTACATAATATAAACATGCAATGTTTGACACACCCCCATAGGCGCAGTGGGAGACAACCACAGGGTCACAAGACCAGTCAAAGCAAAGCAAAGCAAGCTCAGGGTGGATCTCAAGGATTCCACACAAATTCCGAGCACAAGCAAGCGGTCACAAGACCAGTTCACATGCAGGTTTATAACAAAGCAAGAGATACAGTGATCACAACCTAGCAAAAGTAAACAAGTAGGCATATATATATAGTGATCACAGTACAAGCAAGGTCAAGAGGTAAGCAAGTGAGGCCCAGTAGGTACAAGGCCTAGCAGCGTGCAAAAGCGCTGATGGTCACAAGGCTGGAGCGCCTTGGTGAACACATCAGCAGTGTTGGCCTCCGTGGCCACGTAACGCAGACAAAGCTGACCACGCTGCTGCAGCTCTCGAGCAAGGAAGTACCGCAGAGCGATGTGCTTCGTTCTGTGCTCCAGTCTGTGCTCCTCACACAAGGCAATGGCAGCCTTGTTGTCGACGTACAGCACTGGAGGAGAACGAGGCCGCTCTCCGAGGTCGGTCAGCAGGTAGGTCAGCCAGCGTAGCTCCTGAGCAGCCATGGCTGTGGCGTAGATCTCAGCCTCACAACTGGAGCTGAGAACAGAAGAAGAGCGAGTAGAACGCCAAGAAACTGAGCCAGAGCCAAGGCTGAAGGTGTAACCCTGGGACGACCGCTGAGTAGCCTGGTCGTCTGCCCAAGAAGCGTCTGAGTGCCCTGTGAGAACAACCCGGTCTCGCCCTCCAAGCACAAGCCCCATGCCCGACGTACTGCACAAGTAGCGCAACACCCTCTTAGCAGCATCCATGTGCTCCTTCCGGTGACGGCCAGGAGCGACATAGCGTGCTAGGATGCTAAGAGGGTATGCAAGGTCAGGTCGAGTGCAGGTCATCAGGTACATGAGGCAGCCCACAAGCTCTGGATACGGGCCACTCGGCTCTACGGACTCATCCGAAGGCAGAGCTGAGAGCGAGTGACCGGTAGGCAGAGGAGTGGACTGAGGCGAGGAGTACGTGAAGCGGAAGCGCTGGAGAACCTGCTGCACCATGTGTGACTGAGTCAGGGTGATGGTGCGCCGTGCTCTGTCCCGGGTGATCCGCAAGCCAAGATAGCTCGTCAGCTCACCCAGGTCTGTGCACGTGTGTCTCCTCTGCAGCTCCGACTTCACGTGAGCGAGTGCCGCGGTGTCAGCAGTGGCAAAGACCAAGTCGTCGACGTACACGAGGATGTAGAACGGCGGCAGCGAGGTGTCGGTGCGTAGAAACAGCGACGGGTCAGCAGTAGAGGGAGCGAACCCAAGAGCCGCAAGTGTCGTCCTCAGTGTGTCGTGCCACTCACGTGGCGCCTGGCGGAGACCGTAGACCGGCCGCTGAAGCCTCCACTGGGTGCCAGGAGGAACTGACCCAGTGAAGCCAGGGGGGCGGCGCAGCCAGATCTCCTCGTGCAGGCTGCCCTGCAAGAAAGCAGTGCTGAAGTCAAGAGAGTGAAGCTCGTAGTCGCGGTGAGCGGCTATGTGCAGCAGCACCCGAAGAGTAGTCATCTTCGGGGTGGGGGAGAAGGTCTGAAAGAAGTCTACTCCCTCTCGCTGACTGAAGCCTTGAGCCACGTAGCGCGCCTTGAAGACAGGTGGAGAACCCGGCGGCCGCTTCACCCTGAAAATCCACATGCCACTGACGATGTTCGCCCCAGGAGGGGGAACCTCGTCTACGTAGGTGCCTGTGGACTTCCAGGAGGCCATCTCTGCGTCCATGGCTGTCTGCCACTGAGAGGAGTAGGGACCCGCCATCGCCTCAGCGTAAGAGCGTGGGGTCGGGATGTCTGGTGCATCCGGGTCTCCCTCAGGGGCAACTAGCAAGGACACGAGACGGGGCAAAGCAGCAGCAAGGCAGTGGAACTCCTCCTGTCTGTCCTCAAGGACGTCCGTGCCGAGGGCACACTCACCCCCGACGGACGGAGGACAGGCAGACGCAGACTCAGACCTAGCGACAAGGCTGGCAGCGTAGTCTAGGCGACAGCGAGCAGCAAAGTCAACCAACTCAGCGACCAGAGCAGACGCAGCAGAGGACTCAAAGGTCGGGTCAGTGACAACTGTAGCAAGGAGACGCGTAACAGTGGGACTGGCAGCACGACGGGAGTCAGACTCCGGGTCAAGAAGAGTAGGAAGAGAGGACGCAGGAGGAGACGGCAGCGGGACACGCTGCGGAGCAGTGGAGGGACGCAGAGTCATGTAGTGAGTGCCAGGGACAGGAGGAGGACGCTCACGTGGGACACGACGACCAGTGCGAGCAGTACGAACAGGCGACGCAGGACGAGACTCAGGCTCACGACGCTCTGTAAGACCTCCTGTGGGACCAGCGTAAGGGGAGGGAGCAGGGAGAGGCGAGGCAGGCGGTAACTGTGACTGCAGCTGGACAGGCAGAGGACACTCGACGGAGGGAGGAGGACTAGGAGGAGGAGCCTGACCAAGAACCTGCTGAAGGAGCGGTACGAAGTACGGTCGCGGCCGCGCAGCGTCTCCAGAAGCAGCAGGGACACCAGTGGCAGCCCCAACGCCCGAGTCCTCAGCACCAGCAGCAGCTCCAACGCCCGGGTCCTCAGCACCAGTAGGAGCTCCAACGCCCGAGTCCTCAGCACCAGCAGCAGCGCCACCGGTCGGGTCCTCAGCACCAGCAGCAGCTCCAACGCCCGGGTCCTCAGCACCAGCAGCAGGGCCACTGGTCAGGTCCTCAGCACCAGCAGCAGCGCCACCGGTCGGGTCCTCAGCACCAGCAGCAGCTCCAACGCCCGGGTCCTCAGCACCAGCAGCAGCTCCAGCCCCCGGGTCCTCAGCACCAGCAGCAGCTCCACCGCTCGGGTCCGCAGCACCAGGAGCACCACTACGAAGACTGCAGCGCCGCGTGTACCACTCGCGGATCACCTGAATGGGGGGGAGCTCCTGGGTAGGAGGGGAAGTACCGGGACGAGCTCCAGAAGCACCTCTCCGGAGGCGGCAGTACTCGAGGTACCTCTCCTGCAGCTGCTGGGAGGAGAGGGCTCCTCCAGGTGGAGCACGCTCAGGCTCAGCACCCCCAGACTCAGCACCCCCAGACTCAGCACCCCCAGTCTCAGCACGTCCAGACTCAGCACCTCCAGGCTCCGCACCTCCAGGCTCAGCACCCCCAGGCTCCGCACCTCCAGACTCAGCACCCCCAGGCTCCGCACCCTCAGACGCAGCACTCCCAGGCTCAGCACCCCCAGACGCAGGACGCGAGTCAACAGCTACCTCGACAGGCTCACCCGGGTCTACCTGGGACACACCTGAGGGAGCGGCACCCTGAGGGGGGAGGGGGTCTGGTACCTCAGCACCTGGAGCGAGGAAGAGAGGCGGGGGGGGGAGCGGGGCAGTGCGGTAGGGGAAGAGGCGGTAGAAGGGGACGGACTCGTCAAAAGTGACGTCCTGAGAGGCCAGAACCCGGCGCGAGGTGACGTGGTAAAACTGCCATCCAGGCGCGTCGGGAACAAAGCCAAGAAAGACACAGGGAACAGCGCGACGGGAGAGCTTGTCCGCGGACGTGTCGCGGACAAAAGCTCGAGATCCCCAGACCCGGAAACGCGACGCATCGCCAACCTCTCCCGTCCACCGCAGAGTCGGGGAAGTCTCCGGCAAGGAGACACGGGGCCAGAGGTTGAGCTGATGCGCAGCGTACCGGACCGCAAACGGCCACAGAAAGTGGGGAGCAGCCGCATGGGTCAGGGAGGTACGAGCGACCTCCATGACTAAGCCAATGCGGCGCTCAGCAACCCCATTCTGCTGTGGAGAGGCCGGAAGCGTGTACGACTGCTCAATGCCGTGCTCAGCACAGTAGGCTGCCAAGAGGTCGGAGGCAAACTCACCACCTCTGTCAGAGTGCAAGCGCAGGACAGGAAAGTCCGAGTGAAAGCGCTCGCCTAGCTGGAGACGGGCTCGGCTGATCCAGGGGATCAAAACACCAGGGACGTCACCCTTGGCGCGCAAGGGGAAGACCGTGGTGTAGCGCGAGTAGTCGTCAACAACTATCAGGAAGTACCTCTCCTGACCCTGACCACGGACGCGGGCTGGGCCCCACACGTCCATGTGGAGCATCTGCAAGGGAGCAGTCGTCGGGGGAAAGGAGGAGGAGTGAGGAGCGGCGCGCTGCCGCCCCTCGACACAGGGAATGCAGTCAGGAGCAGGGGAGTCAGGAAGGGGAGGGAGCACCCTGGGAAGACCAGCAACAAGGTCCCGTTTGTGCATGGCCCGCAGGCGCTGCACAGACGGGTGACCAAGGCGGTGGTGCCAGAGGACGGTGTCGTTCGCCAGAGAGCGACACGAGCAGGGGGCGGACAGCTGACCTGACGCTGACGCAGACGCAGCTACCTGAGGGGACTCAGTGGTCAGTGTGTACAGGTCAGACCCCGGCTCTCGAGTGAAAGTAGCTAGGTGGCGGCCCGTCCGAGCACACGTGCAGTGAGTCACACGCTCGTAGGCAGGGGTGAACTGGTGAACACCCCCGTCCTGGAGCGCACTACCTGCCACCAAGTTCGTGGAGAACGAGGGGAGGTAGAGACCTGAGAGCGTGCCGGACGGAACCGCTGGACACGGAAGGGTGGTGGAGGAGGTCGCAAGGACCGGACCCCCAGAGGGGTCAGCAAGAGAGACAGCAACCGGCCGAGCTAGAGGCTCAAGGACAGTGCGGTCACGAAAGAAAGAGCGAGAAGCACCTGAGTCCAGTGTGAAGGTGTGCAGTGCTGCAGTCGACTCAGTACCAGGGGGCACAGACGCACAAGCACCTAGAGCAGCAGCTGCAGTAGTACCTGTGGAAGCAGACACACTAGCACCTAGAGCAGCAGCGGGGCTGGCCTGAATGCCCGGGTCGGGCGGAACAC